AACTGAAGATAGACAATGTGTTATTTCTTTTATCAAGCGAAAAAAAATACATACATTAGCACAGCTACGGTGCACGTAGTTACATAAAACAAACGTTAGTGGCGTAGGAAGCTGAGCCGGTGTTATAAATCTGTTGGTTAAAGCCGAGACTCGGGCAGGTGTACCATGCTCCAGGTGTACCTTGAGACTGCTGACGTCGCTGTTCACTTCATGATATGCTCGCATCGCTCGGACGGCTGTGTCTAAAACGAAACAAACCAGTATTAACACATTTGTACATAACGATAAGCAACAGAACATGTTTAGGAGCAAGAAGAGAGCAGCAGAGCTTGTTGCTCCCTCTCTCACCGCTGTCACCATCCTCGTTTCTTCGGCCCTCAAAAGCTTGCTGTAGTTTCTCGGTTTCGGCCTCTAAAGTCACCGCCAACTTCCTTAGCTTGGAGAAAAAGTCTCGGGTAGACTCCATTTTGGAATAGGAGTCCAAAGCTACTAAAAGGGATTAAAGCAAAACGTGAAAAATCCGAAAGTGAAGACGGCTCGTTTGTTTACCAGCTCTCACTGCTAGAAAACAACTTTTAGATTTTGGCGCCTCTTCCGGCGAAAACGGAAGTGCTTTCTTCTTCTTTTACTAAATGTGTTTATTTTCCTATGTTCGCCCCCTAAAGGCATAGTAGATCAATAGTTGATATCTAATTCAGTGAGAAAATGGTGGCGGCTTCAATAAATTTGTGAGGTTTCATAATTAAGAAAAACGTTTATGTGTATATAAAAAAATGACTAAATAACTTAAAAACAGATTTCTTATTTTAGAATTAAACCAATAGTGTCTCACGAGAAGGAGTGGAAAACTGACCCCCGTTTGACCTATTGGAAAGCATGAAACCAGAACCACTCTATCACGTCACATGAAAAAATTACATACTCTGTGGGATGACATGTTTGCATTAAGATAAGTTTAGGGTAAACATAATTTTAAATTAATTTTATAGGCACCAAATCCCCGCTGCAAGGACAAGCGGGTTTAGGCAAATGATGTATGAATGTTTTGGTTGTTTTTTATGTTTCTGACATGAGCTGCACGAGACCAATAAAAATAAAAAAAATTAAAAAAAATAAACTATGATCCTGTAATTACATTCAGTTGCCAGAAGATGGCGGTGTACATCAGTCAGGACGTTCCCTCCGCTACAGAATCAGAGGACCGCTACCCGTCTGTCTCTGACCCAAACAGCCTGACAAATAAATAGTAAATAAACATTTAGGGTCATTTTAATTATCAGACACCAAACAACCAAGAAAAATGGCTCCAGGTTTTAACTTTCGTCGGGTAAACGTTGGTAACAACGGCTACTAGTGCCAAAAAAGTAAATTATAAACGGATTCATACCTGTTAAAAGTCTTAAGATGACTGTTAGTTTCTATATCCACTGCAGCATTCATCATGGTTTTCCAAATCATTAGTTAAAATCTATCAAAGATCACTTGTGCATTATTTTTACTCATGTTAGCTGACCAGCATTACCAGTATATATATTGTGATGTCCAAACCAAATACGTTTTTTTTTCTTTTTCTTTACTTTCTTCAGTAGAAGCCCATGCTACTCAGGCAATTTTTTAAAATGAAAAACAAATACATAGCTGGACATCTTACATGTCACATATAAAACCTGTTATTTTATTTATTTATTTATTTATGTTAAGTAGAAAACTTAGCAGTTTTCTACCTAGTAGTAGAAAACTGTTTTGCTCTACTTGTTTCAGGTGTCGTACCAAAATGTTCCTGCTGTACGTAGAGGACTGCTGGCAGGAAAGGCAGCCAAACGCCCTCTATGTTCCTCTGATTGGTGACAGAGCAAGGTTGGACACAGCTGCAAGCCCAAACACTGGGTGGACAATTGGAGGCGTGCGGTCTCCAGGTTTCCCAGCAGGCATCGTTAAAATTTAATTGTGTCGGATTTTACTAGTCATCACTTTGAGGGAATCAACCTTAGGGCGGCACAGAGATTTAAAAACTTTATCGGCACACACGCACTTTGTCTCATACACACATTGTTTTTAGAACTTGTATTAAAAATAAAAATAAAAACAAAAAAAGGTGACCCATGCAGGTTCAGAGTTGGGTAGTGGCTAGTTGCATTTATTCAGATACTGAGAGACTTTTTAGGAGGGGTGTGGGAGACTTTTAGGAATATTTTTGATATGTTGTACTTTCTACTTTTACTTGAGAGCTTTATTATGAAGAACCGCTACTCTCACTTGAGAAAAGCTTCTGGATTCTCTACCCACTGTGAGTAACTTCATGAATGAAGAGCAAGCTTGTTTTAACCAAAAATTCACAGACATACACACCTGCAGCTTTTGCTAAAGTTTTACATATAGAAGAATGTTACTTTTGTCTCATAATTATTATTTATTTGAATAATTTCCATTTTGGTCTTTAAAATACCAAAGTTTCCACATGACTTTATATTTCTGTCTACAGATTCAAGTTTTAAATATCAAATGACTGTTTTGGTCAGTCACCCAGTGCCTGGGTAGCCTTTTCAACCAAACATTTCCTTACTTTTGAGTCACCGTTTTTTACTTTTACTTGAGTAAAAATATGCTGAAGAAGCACTACTCTTATTTCTGTGATGCTCATATGAGCAACAGAATTTGACACGACATTTTGTCAAAGCGGCCATCTTGGAAGCCGCTGGTTAGCATCCCGACTCTATAAGTACTTATTTACTTTTCAATAAACTTACCGAGATCCGATATCTGCAAATTGACTAAGGTGTTACTGATGATTCACTTTCAAAAAACACGAGTTATTCGTCAGAGGTTAAAGGTCGTAATGGCGTCTTGTTTTGGAGGCTGTCGATTCAAACAGTTTTGTAGGAAGGAAATGAAAGTCTCTGTATCTGTTTACGCATTACTACACATCTTTAAATTCATTTTAAACATGAAGAAAATATTTACATTGAGGCTGAATCTTAATAACTTGAAGAAGCAAGGACCGTCTTTGACACTATCCTCCTCAACCCAAACGGGTCTATCAGAGGAACAATGAGGAACACAGCTGTTCAAGAGAAAACCTCCGGTTTCCAGACCAAAAAGATAAATGTGACAGAAAACATTTGGGTCCTCTGGGGAAAGGAGCTCGCTGCATCCGTGTCCTCAGAGTGAAAATAAAAGGAATATTTAGATCATCTGTGCATCAACCTTGCAAGAAGCTGAGCTGGCAAAAATATTTTGCCAGCTGAGGGGAAGAAAAAAAAAGTGTTTTCCTTCCCCAACAAAAAAAAAAGAAAAAAAAGAGTGAAATTAATGAGCCAATGGCTGAATGACACCAATACCAAACCAAAAAATACAACGATATTAAAATCCTGAATGTAATTTACACTGTAAATCCTAGTTCAACGCAGGTCAAGGCATAAAAATAACCACACAAGTGATGCTATTATGTAAGAAACGAGTGATTACTGAGGTCAGTTTCCTCTGAAGTGACCGCTCGCATTAGGCTGGGTCTGCGTGTGTCGCTAAGGGGGAACCGCACAATGACAGATGGACTGGTTTTCAACGCATACCACCAGAGACCCCACTATTGAATTTCCTTTTTTTTTTTTAGATCATTTGTTTTCATTCACTGCTGCTAAGAAACATTTCTAAACCCCCAAACTGAAATGAGTCCAGAGTGCTTTTAATAAGGGGCTTAGGACGGAGAGAGCCAAAGTTGATGGATTAGCGTTAATGCTGAATGAGGCAGAAAATCGGACTGAAATTAGGGAAGAAGGAATGGTTTGGTTGTGTGCTGCTCTTTTGAGGGACTTGATGTCGTCTGCATACATGAACATACGTAATTTAAAAAGAAAATGTATGTCAATAACAAACCATCACGCACTGTGAGCATCGTGCTATTTTCTTAAGCAGGAAAGCTGGAGACGGGGACGGAGACAATGAGCCTAAACTACCAACCAATGCAACGACAGACATGTTACAAAAGCCTATAAGTTCAACTTAGAATCTGTAGAAATCCTTTAAAATCACCGTCCATAGATTCTCTCTGTCCAGTTTGAATGTCGCAAAAACACAAAATCTTACCAAGTAATTTTGGTCTAGTTTCCAGTGCAAGCATCTTAGTCCACTTGAAATAGGACAAAACTGACTTACAAGTAACTTCTCATTAAGATATAGGAGCTTGTTTCAAGTCAGTATTGGTGAAAAATGCTAATTCCACTGGCAGAATATTTCAGCTCTAACAGGACGATTTGCTCATGTTTTAAGCAAAATAATTTGGAACTTTTTCATCAATATTAAGGAATTATTGACTTAAAACTAGCTTCTCTATGTTGCTGAAAATGACTGAAAAATACTAGGATATTTGCAGTAGAAACTAGATGAAAAATACTTGGTAAGGTTTTGTGTCTTTTCAGTGTAGTACTCCTATCACACATAGATAGTCCAAGGCTTTGTTTGTTGTACTTGTGATGATTAAGGTCTATAGATAACGAAAACCCCCACATTTTGCGTCTCAAATTGAGAATGCTGTGAGAAAGAACCTTAATGGAAAGTCATGAAACGGATCATGAAACTTTTACACACAAGACACAAATGTCAACGCTGACGCATACTAACAGGAAACTGAGTGGAAGGAAGAAGTGTGGTAGGACCAATAATATTGCATCTATCACACAATATTCCATTTATTTTAAATGCAGGAGTATTTAGAAAGAATAATGACAAGTATTTCAGGATAGTCCGGTAAAGTGACTGCGACTGCACACAATGTCGATTCAAGGAGCTGAAATTACAGAAAATGTGGAAAACCACGTACCATCTTCCACTTCTGAATCATGTGCTACTTTATTTTAGTCTGTCACATAAAAAACCCAACAAAAAACATCAATGTCTGTGGTTGTGACATGGTAAAAACATGGAAAACAGCTGAAGAGGAGCCACAGAAATTCGTGCAAAGCTACACGAATAAACAGACAAGCATGAGAAAACAGAGAGCTCCATTTAGAGTTCAGATAGGTTCACTTTATTGCTCTTTAGTTCAGACAAAATAAAACAGTTTACATAAATTAAAGGAGTAATTACAAATTCCAAAAATATTACATCCATTCTAAGAGGCATCCGGACTGTTATATCCTGTGCACTTATGGTAGTTAGCCTTGGATCTCCATCTTAGCCCCGACGTTGAGGTAAATACAGATCATATCTGGAGGAAGGAGAGAAGTCAGCAGACCTACGGCTAATATGAAGGAGACCAAGATATGCATAATCAACCCCAGCTCTACTGTAGTAATATTCGTTCGTAAAGTTAAGGCCACTTTTTTACAAAGAAAAAAGAGGAAAGGACAAACAGACCAGGTAGTCGTCTACTGCTAATGAGGTTAAAGAGAATAAATGGAGGTAAAAAGTCAGACGTGGCTTAGATATGATCCACACCTACTTTATCTACATGAGATGGCGTTCATTAAATATGCATGGAAACCATGGATGTGCTCCGGTCAAACTATTCCCCAGAAGTGGTTCAACAACATGGCAGAGTGCAAACACCGTCAAGGGAGACAGTGGCTAAAAAAAAAAAATCTACCGACCACCTTAGCTGTTTTTTTTGTTGTTGTTGTTAACAGTAAACAGGTTCCAGCTCCAGTTTGGGTCTTTTGGACTGTAAACTGACCTTCAGCGTGAAGGTCTCCGCAGTGCTTTGTTCTGCAGGGCAGGCGCTGATTGTTTGTTCGCTTTGCTTCACCTTGAACATGGACACTTCCAGTCTCATGTGGGGAGCCCATTGATTTCTCAATATTTTTGTTCTCACTTTGCTGTTTGGCGTCTGTAATAAGATACAACATTGACTTTACTGGGGTTTGGGTAAAGCGACAGCTTAGATGTATGTTGGAAAAAATAAATAAATTACAATCTGACATCAAACGAAACCCTCAGCGGTCACTGTGTGACTGTTGCTAGGTGAAAACATTAAACCTGTATGCCAGTCATTAGCAGGAATGCCATGTTCATTTTCAATATTTAGTAATGCATTTGAACTGTTCTCATTTTTCCCAGGCGGCGATAATGTTAATGGATTCTAAAAACAAGACTTAGTCTGGATTTTATGCAACTTTTTAACATCAGTTGCCAAGAAACCACACTTTTTGTTGTATCAGCAAGGTCCTGGGATAATTCTGGATATGACAGTCAATGTAACTGGTATATTTAAATGAGTAGCTGGATTTTAAATACACTTTTTTAAACGAGTTAAACTCTTGGCTGTTCCTCACATGTTGTCCATGTTGACTTAGTTTAGTTTATTGCTGTATTTCAAGCCATATAAAAGTAAAAAAAAAAAAAAAAGCATATTAGTAGGTAAAAACTGAGCAAAAATAAAAAAAATATATACATCTACTTATGTAATAATGTACATAAATAACAAAACGAGCTGCTCCATGTCCGCCGAGAGGAGCTGTGAAAATATAAGGGCTGAATTAAGCCAGAGCTTCGCTTATGGGTACAAGAAGAGTGTGGTTTCCCTGCAACTCACTAAAACAACTTTAAACCCAATGTTAGCGCAATCAGGTCTTTAAACTGCATGGTAATTACATGCATTGTTTTGTTTCTTGCCAAACAACAAAATAAAAATAAGATTCAGCGAAAAATGACTTATAATTTTAGGAAGGTGACAATATGATATATAATAATAACGTAAAACAATTTAAAAAACCGGAATGACATTTCACGAATCAATAGAGGGAAAGCAAATACAACTTAAGAGGAACTGAGATTTTAAAAAAAATGTATTCAGAACGGCAAAGATGGAAAGATTTTGTTCCAATTAAAGTTGTGAACAATCTTGTCAGTGAGGTGAAATTAACACTAAATGTAAATCTCTTTCTGCTCTTAAAAGACATCTGAAAAAATTCATTATGATGAAGCAATATGCCACTGAATAACTTGATGTTTTCTTGTGTACTTTTTGTGTGTATATGAATTATTGTCTGAGTTGAATAGCTAATTTTCTCTTTATGTGAATCTGCAGAAATATTATAAGTTTATACTATGCCCTCCTCCTTTTCATTCTTGATTTCTTTCAGTTGTTACACGAACTGGGAATGAAATACAGAAGTGAAATAAAAAAAGAAAAAATGGATATAAAATTTATACTCATAATAAGCATATGTGAACCTCTGACCTGCACTGTGCTTGTTGTTCACCACCCATATGATACATCCACGGTTATGAAATGAATACTTTTTTTCTCTTTTTAGTATCCAGCTATCCATCCATTTTCTGTACACCCTTGTCCCTCAGTGGGGTCGGGAGGTGCTGGTGTCTATCTCCAGCTACTTTTTTCTCCTTTTCTCCTTTCCCTTTTCCCATTTGCCAGAAGTTTAAGCTCCAAAACTTGACAGGAGAGAATAAGTTTCTACGAATTTTGTTTTTGCAATAAACAGGAATAGTTCAGCAAAAATAATAAAAAAAAAGGCAAAACACCCCAAATGCCCTATATATTGAGGTCTTTGTTTGGTGTAGATAAATAGGGGATGAGAAGGCAAAAACTCTACATAGTCTTGTAGCATTTAAAAGGTGCTCAACTTTTATTAATGTGCAAAAAAACTCTTCACTGGCTCTCCTTTAGCCATCCAAATGCTAAAGTGCATAGGGTTAGATTCGGATTCCTTCGCAGAAAAACAGTTCATACTTTTTTTTTTTTCTTGTTTTTGTATCTTACACAACTCCGCCGTCGGCGTTAACGAGGACCATCTTTTCTAGGTCCTTCTTGATGTCCGGGAAGCCCCGAAGCGCCTCCTGACAGTCGTCCCAGGACAAGGAGAAGCACTGGCAGTCGGTCAGCGCCTTCACCGTGGCCAGATGCTTGCCTTTGGTCAGCACGCACGTCTCTGCGGACACAAGGCGGGAAAAACGTAAGGCTAATGAGCGCGCGAGCCTTAATGACTGAGGGAGCGGGAGAGCCCTAACGGTTAATCTGAAATTAAAACGAACAGACGTTAGCCGTTAGCTCCGACGGGCTCCGGTGCCAACCGGACTGGGGCGGGTTCCAGCCTAAAAAGCCACTGAATTAAGCAAATGATTTAAAGTACAGAGGAGGGAGGGAGGAAAGGAACGAAGGAAGAAGAAGAAGAAAAAAAGTCACTATATGTGATCAAGCTGCCAAATGGAAAAAGGAGGAGGTTTCAAAGCGAAGCTTGGAACTGCCAAAGCCGAACATAAATACAAGGACCAACTGGCATTTTCAAAAACGCATTTGTCATGCTCAGAAACACATTTTGTAAAGACAGAACGCCCTGTGACAGTAACTCAACTGCGGTTCTGCCAAAATACAGTCACAAAAGTGCCAAAAAAAGCAACAAAGAAATAATTTAATTGGTTTTTAGGTACTATTAAATGTCACAGTGTTACGATCAAAATGAAATTGGAAAGCAATACATTTAAAACGCCTTGAAAAATGTCCTATTTTGCTATATAACCATGAAATCAGATTTAACCCCGTTTACTCTGATAACCTTAAATGAAATACAATCTGTTTTCATAAGCCACCTAATTAGTAGGGATGCACTGATCCACTTTTTTTTTTACTTCTGATATAAAGATATCTGAGGATTAGTATCGGCCGATCCAATACAGAAAATCTTTTCTGAATTTACTTAAAACATAAATTCTTTAAAACACAGACATAAATACAGAACTACAAATGTATGTGATAACCCTGCACCAGTACAACACACTTAGATACACCGATGGCAAACACAGGCTTGGTCAAGCATGTAAAAACAATACAACTTGAATTTGTTCAGTCAGTGCAATTAGCAACATAAATAAAGACACTGAAAAATTGCTGTGATGAGTTAATAGTGATGACAACGAGGGAAAGGTCAAATCCTATTTTAAAAATGACTAAATATATAATTTGAAGTTCTCCGAATGTAACCAGAGATGTGGAACAAATCGAAGCATACCTCCAAAAAAGTCTCCGTCGCAGAGCTCCCTCTCGTACGACTCGGTCTCCATCACGGCCTCTCCGTGATCGATGAAGAACATACGATCGCCCGGGACATTCTGGCGGACGATGACGTCTCCCTCCTGGAAAACCTCGTAATGTAGCTTGAGGAGGACGTCGTTGATGAAGTTTTCGTCTCTGTTCTGAAACATCGGTACTTTCTTCAGCAGCTGGCTGCACATCACCATCAAGACTTGCTGGGAAAGAAAAGAAAAAAATTCATTACCCATGTTGCGGTTCATTAGGAATGTAAAGATCCAAACACAAAGTTAGACAATTAGTATATGTAGACTCAGGGTTTCCCCTAGTATATTATAAGCCTGGCGGGCCACCAGGCTTTACTTGTGTCCCACCAGGCTAAACATTGCTTTTTTTTTTAAATTTCATTACAACAACTTAGCAAAAGTGTCAAAATGTATCCCAGTGTGCTTAGGGATAGTTGTGTATTGATGAGGTTTACCTCTTTGAGGGATGATGATATCGTGTCCATTATGTATTTCTCGTCGAACCATTTCCCTCCGTAGCGAGCTTGGTAGTAGTTGCTGATGCGAAGCTGCAACTCTGGTGGAAGCTTCATGAAGGCCATATAATGCTCCAAGCGACTCATCTGTGGGGAAAAAAAACCCAGCAGTTATAAAGTATGTAATTCCATAGCATAATGCTTAAAGGACTCCAAGATTCATATATTAGAACTAGGAAATCTAAAAAGCTTAAAAGTATGAACCTTTTTTCTGTAACGGTCCAGCATGCTGAAAACATTTTTTTGTATGTCTGAGCCAAATGAAGGAGAGAGTGTTTAACAACAACTGCGGTTTGATTATCACCATTTTAACAATTTTATCCACAGAACCTGCAGAATTGGCTAAACGTGGCTCTTTTAGTGCTAACAAACATGCTGTGAAAACATTTGCACTGTGTAAGCTTGTTAAACATGTCGATGTTCACTTTTGAAGAGCGACTGAATGGTTTGGGTAGCAGAATTATTTTAGCACTCACAAATCCGACAATGAGTAACTCCCGCTTCTCATTCAGTCTGCTCTGGTATAAGTGTCTGTGAGCAAACTGATTCCTATTAAAGTCATTGTGGATTTTATTTATATTATATTCTTTAAATATACATTTATGATTTTATTGTGGTCTGTAAGTTGTGTTGTTTTGTTTTTAATCTGTGTACCTATGGACTTATAGTCTATGAATGCAGTTTGAACTGAATTGAATTATGGAACATGTGTTTAGGTTCCACAGTCATAAATGTATTTGCTGATAAAAATGTCTAATTATTTTGTTTGCTAGATAAATACTCCAATAACCAGGGACTAGTTATTTATTAGGTTTCCATAATAACATATATTACAAGGTTTCGGTAATAACATATATACTCATCACAAAAAAAAACACGGTACAATAAAGGAGAGCCAGCAACTTTACTCGCTGAAGGCTAGTATAAGGACCTTGCTCTTGTATTCCTTGGCTGCTGGGTCAAGGTTGGCGATCATGGTTGTAGCGTTGGCTACGAGGATGGTGTACATCATGCAGCCAGACACCATGCTGACCATGACGATCCACATCTCTATGTAATCTGGACAGCAAAAGAACTAGTGAGAACCTTTGGGTACTAATGTGTTTGTTTTTTTTTAAAGTGTGAGATGCCTGAAGAAGAAGGGAGTGCCTGACTTGTTGGAGCATCCATGGATCCGTAAGAGAGAGCAATCATCTGGGAGAGAGCTCGGAAAACTCCCCAAGAGTATTTAACGATGACTGTGGAGTTCTGAAAGAAATAAGGCGACGTTGATGTATTGTAACCCGTTAGCCAAACCACCAAGTCACCAAGAATCCACAGAACTGTCCCTCTAATTTAATAAATCCGTCACCCTGTTCTGTCTGTACATTTGGGGAAAGGTTTGGTTACCATCAGGTTTTCCTTCCGAACCCAGCAGTCGGTGGGAAACTCCTCCAGCATGGGGACGAAGTACTGGATGCAGCCGTTCCAGTGACACAGCAAAAAAATCATCATGAAGAGAGACAAGATGCGGAAGAAGAGCCGAACTACCTCCAGGTTTGCATTTGACACCTGCCGAGAAGACACGACACAAACACATGTGTTTTAGCCAATAATCTGCATGGCAACGGCGAACACAGGGAAAAGCATGGTGTTCAAGAAGGACCCAAAAAAAATTGGGGTTAAAAACTTGAACTCCACTTTAAAGAATTCATCAAATGAGCATTAGAATTACATTTCCTTCTGGGTTAGTACGAGTTCTGGTTTCACTGCTTTGGTCAGCAGTTCAATCAAATGACAGCTGTACGACTGAATAAGGCAGAGTAAGAAACGGGAGTGGTCAGACGATCACCCGGACTGCAAACAAACCAACAGTTTAGTCAGATTACCCTAACAACTTAATTTACACCTAAATAAGTAATGATCCTCATCAGTCAGGAAAACGGTTCAAACAGACATAAACCTACAGGGCCAAATGGATGCCTCTCCAATATTCAGCTTGTCAATCTGGCTCCATTTAATGTGCTTATTTAATAGAAACACTGCTTGGTAAAATGATAATTAATGCACCGATTGTTCGGGTGACCGGCAATTGGCCATGTGTAACCGATCTCATCCACCAAGCTTATTTACATTTAAATAGCCACAAAACTGCTTCATGTGGCTTTCCTATGCATTACAAGGAAACCTAAAACTCAGGACAATTTATCGGTGGTTTAAGTTGTTTAGTTTGTTGTGAACTGACTTCAAGCCTTGTGATTTTTTTAAAAGGAAAACACTGCTGTGCACATTATTATTTGGTAAGAGACCCAAAGCGGGTGTGTAGTTAGACCTGTTCTGACAGTTTTGTTTGTATTTAAAATGTGAAAAATGAAAAACTAAAGAAAAATATTTTTTTTGTTTAATTTAGTTAATTTAGTAGATTGGACAGCAATCTACTAAATCAATCTCTAAATGTTCAATTTCATTTAAATGCAGTGGTGAGCGCTACATCAAGTACAGTTAAAAAAAGTTTTTATTGTTTCACTAGTACTGTTCAATAATGTTCTTCAATAAAATAACACGGGACCATTGAAGTTTATTGTAACCTTACAACACCTGACAGTGTCAGTTATAAAAATATAATTGCTTCCCCACAATATCTGGCTAGATCTGGCTTGTACAACCCCTGAGGTGGTTTCAAAAACCAGGTAAGAATTTCATGGTGTCTGTAAATGGAGAAGAATCTGGCTGGGACCGACCGAGGAAGAACTGGTTAAAGCCAGGTCTACAGACAAGAGGCTAAAGAAACCAGATATTCAGTCAGATGAAAAGATTAAGAGAAATGGTAAGAAATACTTCATGGACTCAGGGAATGTAGGTGTCCTGAAAAGACACTTTATTAACAGCAGAAAAAACTGACTGACAAACAAAAGAAATGAGCCTCAGCTTTCTAGATAATAGCATACAAAAAACAAACGGCAGAAACAGTCGGTCGATTGTTGATATTGCCAACAAAGCTCACCAACCAAAATGCCATCTCTTAAGGAATCGGCATAGAGAAGGAAATACAACGTCTTTTGACACCTTCTCCTTCAACAAGTTTTCAATCGCTTATCGTAGCAGGAGCAGTACAATCACCATACATACAACACACGACTTTCCACCATGGCTAATCAAATTCAAAATCAGATTTTGAGTTTGAATATGTCTGAATGAACTGTTTGACTATGAGTCTATAGATCTGGTCTGCCTTGGATCATTTCCAGCTCGTTGCTAGAACAGAAAAACCTAAACTAGATTCTTCTGCAATGAACATAATGAGCACAATTAGAGACTTATGAAAACCTTTATTTATACTGTTTGCAGAACACAGCAAAAATACTTCCAAATATTTTAGGGCCACCCTGAATTGAGACAAAGAGATAGTTGTTGAACTTACTTTCTCAACTTCGTTGAAGAACCTGACCAGTCTGGACACTCGAGCCAGCCGGATCAAGCTGAGGATCCGCACGAACATCAGTATCCTCATCATCTTGTTGGCCTTGGATGGGTTGTCATCGTTGTGGTAATGTAGGTCCTAGAAACGGAAACAAGGTGAGGGTTCTTTTTTTGTTTGTTTGTTTTTGCTGTAGATCTCAGGCACCTCAAAGTCCCATTACCGCAAACAGCAGGATGTATCCGATGGGGAAAGCTGCTATGACGTCCGGGATGAACCATGTCCTCAGGTAGCTGACTCTGATTTTTTTGATATCCAGAATAGCTTCCTGAAAGAGAGGATGGAGACCGGATGTGAGCCTGTGCCATGAACCGATTTAGAGTGTTAACACTCCGTCTGATCCGATATTTAGGGAGTACTTTGAAAATAAACCGTCATGCTGGATCGGATTTGTATGTATGATTCATACAGAAGACTTGCATGAATGTCAGAAGTTCGCAGAAATGGACTTAAAAAAAAAAGGTAATCCAGATGCAAATCCAGATGTTTGTGTTGAAAAACATCACAGACGCACCATTCGTGATTAGCAAGAACTCCGTGATTCGGGGAAAACAAACGGGATATTGACAGAAGGACGCTTAATTGGAAACGTTATACGCTCATTATAATCCCCCGTTATAAAACCGCGCAGCAGGTGCCAATGTTGCCCGTATCTCAGGATGGGCGGTTAATCTAGCCTTTCGTGTATTGAGTGGATTACAGATGGGACGGGGATGGATTGCATGAGCCCGTCGGTGAGGGGATTATCTCTCCGTCCAGATTGTGTCTGAAAATAGAGCGGGCGGCCGCTCTCACCTCGGCGTCCTCCGTTATGATGCCCATCCGGAAGTTCAGGACCACATCCAGCAGAAACAGCGTGTCCGAGAACACGTTGAAGCTCTCCCACGCCAGCCCGCTGTCGCCGTCCAGGAAGGCGATCTCCATGGGAATCCCGATCAGGTTCAGGAAGGTGATGGCCATCATGACCATGATGTAGTAACTCCTACAGGAGGGCAGATGCGGAAGTTAAAGAAAAAACTAATTATTTTTATTTTATTTATTTGTCTTTCTGAGTCTTGAAACTTTCAAGGAGCTTAAGCTAAACTCTGATGCTGAAGTTGGTAAGACAAGCCGCATTGTGCGCCCTAAACACTGTGATAATGTAACTGCACATCCCGTCAGCCGGGCTTAAATTGCCTGGCTCCAATTACTCCGCTCTCTGATCCCAGAGGTTTTGTTCTCTCTCTGCTTTTGCTTTGTTTACAGACTAATAACAACCTATAGATCTAAAACAAACAAACAAACAAACAACAAAAAAAACGCGTTTCCTGTTTTCTAATATTTCTGTATCAACATAAGAAAAAGGTTCAGGTTTTTGTTATGTTTTATTTTAGGGATCTCTTTTTATCTGTTTCTGTCTTGTCTGACTTCACATATGCAGTGCAGAGAAAATGAACTGTGGACCCCCATCCAGAAGCATTGGTTCTCAGTGTTGTTTTATTGCAGTGACATAACCTTACAGTTATTAGCTGCGGTTCTCCTACAGTGACCTCCATCACCAGTTTTTCTCACTCTGTGGGGTTTTAAGGTAAATTTCTCCAGCCTTGTTTTGTCAGCGCTCCAGTTGCTTCAAACCTTTTTTATCTCTGTCTAGTCTTGATTAGTCGAGCAGCTGCTTTCCCTGTGGTAATTTTCTGATCTGAAAAGAAAACATCCCATTTTGAGCAATTTCTAAGAGAAATTATTTTTTTTGCCATGATATGTTAATAGCTCAGGGATTATGGTTAAATATATTGATTCAATCACTGTGTGTCAACACATTAATCAACTGAAGTATGTTCACTGTAAGGGGATTGGCATAGGGGCAATTAATCGTGGTGCCATTTTTTAGATGAAAAAATATTAAAATTAGATTTTTTTGTCATTAAATAAACATAATTAAATTTTTCTAAATTTACAATATAAGATTTCTTTTTACAAATTTTTTTGGAGGATTGCTAATCAGTTTGCTGTGAAAGTTTAACAGCAAAGATTTAAGGAGGAAAAAAGAGACAAATAAATGTTCCAAAAACAAGAAAGAAGTGTAAAACAAAATTTTTAAAAAATAGTTTGAAGTCCATTGTAACATTCTGTATGTTTGACACATTCATTATGGTAACTATTGCTGCGTAGGAAGCAACATAAAGTACAAAAACTTGATAGAAACAAAAAATTTGATTCCTTTATTCCCTCTATATAATGAATCCACTGATTAAGTGACATGTAACAACCTAAAAGTCAGTCTGGTATTGTGGAACTAAAACAACTGAACCTGTAGTGTCTAGATTTTGCCTTGTTTGCACCTGAAATGTGTCAACATACTGTAGGTAAAAAAAAAAAAAAAACTGACTAGTTTCACACTATTACAGGATCTGAGAAACGAATCAAGTGGTGGATGGTACCGGTTTAGTGTTCACGCCAAATGTTTGAAACATTTTCAAACAGCATTACTTGGAAAAAAAAAAAGTCGAGGCATCCTGTCAGTCAGCTGTGCTCAGCAGCAGGTTGGGGAGGGGCAACTTCAGAATGGAATAGAAAAGAACACACTTTATTGATCCTCCAGTGGAAATTGATCATTTGTTGACATACAAAGTGTTAAATATGAGTAAATACAAATATAACAATAAGCGATATAAATTTATATATATATATATATGTCCAAATATGAAATAAATAAAAGAAATAAAATAATACCAAGCATGCGCATGGAAATAATCTACAAATAAATCTATAAAAACGTACATTAAAAGACTTTTTGCATAGTGACTTCAGCTGTTTCCCTGCCATCTCATTAAAGAAACTTTAAATGTCAGTCAAGTTTTAATTTGAACAATTTTTTTTTCACCTGATTGAAATGAAAAATAGTTTCTAATACTTAGACAATCTCCTCTATGTCGCTCGTTCCTGCTTTTCATCCTGAGCATGGTAAATGAAAGACGTCCCGAGTCGCAGCACTGCGTGCCTGAAGTACCTCATGGGGCTGAAGGGGTGAATGACGAAGACTCCGCTCTCCAGCTGGCGCTTGCACTCCTTCTCCACGGCCACCTCGCTGCCGTACACGTACAGGGACTGCCTGTTCAGCTGCGGGAGAAGCAGGGCTCTCCATCCACAGGTGGCCTTGGTAAATCCCGTGGTGGGACCTTTGAATTTCTCCATGGACACTCCTCAGTTCCCTCCGATCAGTCGAAAGCACGGGCCATCCCACCACAGGCTCGCTCCACAGCTGCTCCTTCTTCTCGGGAGAACTGCGTCTGACTCCAGCAGTCCCAGCCTCCCTACTTTGGTCGCAAGGTGTTTTTCACATCCAGCCTCCCGGACTAGCTGAAGCCGAGTGGAGCTGGAGTGGATCCTCCCGCCTCTCCTGCTCGGTCCCTCCCTCTCTCCTTTTCCTCGCTCTCCTCACCCCGGCCCTGTACGCCTCCCATCTCATCAACTATTCAGTATCTGTGTCTCATCCTCAAATGAATCAAGCCATGTCACGAGGACATGTCCAGCTCGCATTAATACTAAGGACAATGGTGGGTGAGAACGTCACACACGCACACACACACACACACACACACACACACACACACACACACACACACACACACACACACACACTGTCATGAGGACCAGGCATCTGGCAGTGTGTGCAGGAACGGTTCAGTCTGGGCCACGGAGCATGTAATTAAACCCTGCGCCCGGTTACCTGATGCTGTACATACAGTATCTTTGAGCCAACTCCTTGAGCATTGTTTGCATACAGCACAGTCAGAAAGAAACTCAAAAACGGGGATGGATGTGGCGTCGAGTGAAACCAACGACTGGAAAAAAAAAAGTGTCTTATTTCTATTCTCTTATAAAATACAAAGGGAGAAAATGAATCTGAGCCAGACAACTCGGACAAAATAAAAAATTGCATTACATAAGATGACAGCAGAATTAATCGCGAGTTCTTGACAGTGGGCATAATGAATGAACGCGTCGGGTTTTTACCCTTTGTGCTACTTTGCTTCTTGCGTAACTCCAAAGAAGAGAAAACATTTTAAACCCACGAGGATACTTTTTAAAGTCTTTAGCTCACCCGTCAGCGTCGGACACTAAGTGTTTCGACGTCTCATGAATCAGGAGTTATCTCCACAGCAAACCACCACCGCATGTCAGGGTAGTAAACCTCACATCACCCAACAGAATCCTGGATGCAAGAGCACCACAGGGTGTTGTGCTTGGCCCAGCAATGTTTAGCCCCTTCACCTGGGTCTGCACCTGTAGCCATCCCTACTAATACAACGCCTGAAGTTCCTGATGTGGTGGCAGCCATTAGACATAATAATGGAGTCCTCTACTGAAGCAGGAGGCACAGCATCTCATTCAACGGTGTTTAGACAAATCCCTACTATTCGTCATCGAGGCAGAGATGGTGAAAACAGTCTGCCTGAAATTCAGAGGAACCTACATAACTGAGGACTTTGCTTGGTGATGTCAGTGGAGACTGTTCTTTCTAATAAAACCAAAAACAGGCTGTCCTGTTTTTATATCTGTTACAAAAATGATACAGAAGTGAAACAGAGAGCATCCTCTGCCACAGATGTACAGCGTGGTACGCAGGCTGTACTTCAGGCCTCACAAAACAATAAAACACCTCTGTTCCAATGACTAACAGAGCTCAGGGGCTCCTCTTCCTCCAGCTGGTGCTATATAAGGCAAAAACAATCAGTGTAGACCGCAGTCACCCAGGTCACTCTACATTTGTTACGTTTTCCTCAGGGAAAAGGTGCAGGGCTCCAAAAACAACAAGTTAACCACTTAAAACATTGACTCTGCTGTCCGTAATATCTATATTTAACCATCTATTGTTACCAAAATCACTGTATGCATTACAGTGTGTACATTTAATAAATCCTTTCAGTTTTTCCCAATAATGTCTGAATTTTATGGATTCTAATCCAGGTCGAAAAGCTCTAAGAAAACACATTATATATATATATATATAAAAAAAAAAAACAATCTCTGAGATAAACCGCCTACATGTTCAGGTACACTTTGTCTCTGTCTCAATGTTTGTCCCAAATACACGTTAGCCTCTTGTGACCTAAAACCGAATAAAATGCTGTATCGGCAGAATCTGCAAAACTTGTTAAACATTAGACTATATCCTCTCCACCCGCTATAATCTTGTTTTGGCAAGCAGATTTAAGTGAGGAACAGTGGGCTTAAAAAATAAGCTCAAGCATTTGAAAATAATTTGCTCTTTATTGCTGTCTTTTCTGGACGTATTGGATTTCTATCTTCTTAAATTGAAAGTGTGAAGTACAACAAAGTATTCTCTCTTTATTGCTTCATCTATGGTTAAACAATCACATTCAGAAGTTTGCATGCAACAATCACTGGTGTAAATTATCATTTTTTTCAGTGTAGAAGGACAATATAACAAACAATTTCTATGATTTTTAATAAAATAGTTAGTAGAGAAACAAATATGCAAGTTATTTTTTTTCAACCATTCAATAAACTTGCAAGGTTGTTTTTTTTTTATAAAATTTTATTAGATTAGATTAAATACATTTTCTAGGCAAACAAAATCAAAAATATTTAACCCAAAAAGCTAGAAAACTGTAAATCTTTCTTATGTTGAGGCAAATATCTGATACCCATTTTGAACCTGCAATAATTTGTTCTCTTCTATTTTTGCTTCAATAAAATATATATTTAATTTATTTGTGAGCAGATTAAAAAAAAATCACATTACAATTATTTTTGCCTTTTTATTGGGAGAAAACACAATTATTGCTCATTATTTTTAAAGTCCATACTTAAATACAGCTAAACATCAGCTGTGAGATTAGAACAAGGCTGTTCCCACAGGTCAAAGATTCAACCTTGAGCTTGAACTGAGCATCGGCATGCAGAGCAGACAGAAAGGAAATCAAACTGAGCCTAGGGGGCGCTGTTGAGCCATGTGGCCGTGCCATTTCTAAATTCCATTGCAAAGTTTGGTGAGTTTTTGAGTGTTTTAAGGTAATTCATTCACAGAAATGTTTGCATTTGAAAAACAATAGACCTTTGGAGAACTTTCGCTGCTGCAGCCTGATTATTTTGTGCAAACAAGAAAGCTAAAAAAAGAAAGATATCAAGAAAGTCAGACATAAATAAAGAAATAACACGGCGCCTTCCAGATTTAGCCAATGCATCCTGCTGTAGAATACGGTATTTGCGTGCTTCTTCCCAAACAGTGACCTCAGACAAAAAAGTGCTTACGCTTCTGTCTTTCCAGAAGACGCTGGAAGCTTCCTGCAGATGGTAAGAGAAGGTGGCAGATGGTCAGGACTTGCAATGTGGCTTTGAACCCTTGCTCCTTCCTGAAGGCAGAGTTCTGTTAAGAAGATTAAAAAAAAACACCACTTTAAATGAAACTGAGCAAGAATCCAGGGGTACTTAACACGCTCTCAGATTTACATCGATTTTCAAAAGAGCAGAGTGTGCAGAGGGGCATGTCTTAACAAAAGGTGCATATCTATCACACGGAAACGAGCAAATGAACAAATTGCTTACTTGCCGGTTTATCTAGCACACAGCTGGCCCCTCGAATTGGAGTAAGTGACTTGGTTCTTCTGCTTACGCACTGCTTTGCTGATGCACCGTACGCAGGGCAGAGCTGTGAAAGAACTCACAAAAACACAACTGTAGGACAGAACATAGTTTCATTTCTCAGAAGTCCCAAAACACCGTTGTAATACTCTACCTTGCACCTCAGCAGCAGCAATATACGTCTTACGTAACAGCCAAGAAGCAATGAAACCGTCTATGATAGGGCATTTCTGTGGCTGAGAAAACCGAGTTGCAGGAGACGTTTCTCCTTGAGTGGCACAAAAGTAAGGATTTTATTTTACTAAAAGTACAAAGATAATAAAATATAAAACAAGAAAATGATTTACAGTCAAGAGGGTCTGTGTAAATTCTAGCTCAGTCCTGCAGGGAATCAGTAAATGTACATTTTGCATCATATTCGCATGTTAACAGCTACATCAAATTAGAGTTAATAAGACAGTGTCCAGAGGGGATACAGCTGGGATTCTTATTATATTCTTTAGGAAATATTTTCAGTGTTTGTATATCATTTTCTAATCTCCATGCGTATAAAGGAAATAATATGAAGATGTTGAATTTAAATTTCAACCTTAGTTAGTATGTTATTTTTGTCTTTTTACATACTGACCTAGAATTAAAAATAAAATCTATTCTTGTGCTCATTTACCTCACATTTCTACACTTGATTGATTTATTCCACAGCCACAACATTGATAATAAAACAATTATAACCATAATGGTGCAATAATAATCACAATATAGCATGAACAGAAGGCTCATCTAACTATATACCGCCCCCCCCCCCATAATTTACATAATAAAGGTGGTAGAAGTATCCATAACATTAACAAAACAAGATGACTCAGCAAATTAAAAGAGAAGTATCGACAGTTTATTGAAGGTAATATTAAATCCTGCACGAAAAAGTATTAAAATGTTGGATTTATTACTGAAAGTGTTTTCTTTTTTTTATTTTTAAGCTGTATCATATTCATCTCGTGTGTGCAGCAAGATGGCCAAAACCTTTCTCGTGCCGTTGTGTGCCGTACGGTGGGAAAAGGAGATACAGGATGCGCTCCTTTGCAGTCAGCCGGCGCTTGAATTGGGTGAATGTGATGAAAGTGTGGGAGGAAACAGGTGACCTCTCAGAGCGATTTGAAATGGTAACATCATTACCAATGGCAGAGTAAAAGTATAATTTATACTTTTACTCTGTATTTGTGTCCAGTGGAGCACAGTCTGACAGGGCAAGCCTACAGCTACCCGGGGCGCCTACTGCTTCACCGGGTGAGCAATGGTGCGCATCCATTTCCACCGAAACCAAAGTCGCTTATAAATAATAAAAGTAATGCAGGAATGAATTTTGGTTTTGGTGAGTGGCTTAATTTTATCTGTAGGGATTCTAAATAAGTTAGCCTGTCATGCTAATATGAAATATTAGATTTTTGTGTAGGTTTTAACGCCGTTTGAACTAATTAACTACATTTCCCAGAATTCCCAGTTGACGTTTGTAGTCACGTGAGTAAGTAAAGTTAATCACGTGACCTTTCTCCCCGCATGGTAGTTGCTGTTTGAAGGTGAAGTGTTCGCTAGTGTGAGTGCTGGGCTCTGTTACAAGTAAGTTTGCGTTACTTAACACGGTTTAGTCTTGTTTGTAATCAGCGATAGTTTTAGATATCGTAGTTCAAGTGGTTTTCATTAAACTGTTGCGTTTGCGCGGCACGGCGCGCACCACTGCTAATGTTTATCAGCGATGCATGTTAGCTAATGTTAGCTAACTTTATGTAATCGTTTTGTAACGCAGATGAAAGTTACCCAACGGCGGTAAATCGCAACACACGGAAGCAGAGAAAGGCTAACAATTTAATCAAACGTGACAAAGAACTATTTTAATTCTGCCTTTTTTGCGTTGTTTGTTAAACTTCTGAAGTGGATATGTTGCTTTTTGGCTCCTTTTTCAGCTTTCTCGATTTTATCAGCACTTCCGTCACTGTGTTTGAAATTAAATGATTGGTAATTTGGATAGTTCTGTGTTTTCTATTTTCATTTTAGTAGGCATGCTAGCAGAAAATAGCTGAAAGAGCCTTAAATTATATAAATTCGGACAGGTTTCGGAAGTTGCGTTTCTGGGTTTATTTATGCCCTTCGATTTTAGGTTCAGCTTTTGATCATTTTGATCACAAAAACAGCTTGTTGTGAAAGGTTTTTTATGTAAATTTGATGGCTGTGTTTATCAGTTAATTGACGTGTATTAGTTTTATTCAGCCTAAGGTTCCTGATATTGCTGTAAACTATATTCGAGCCATTAGCAGGAAGCATTCTGCCTGAAGAATGTTTTCTGCTTCCTTCATTTTTTACATGTAGAGATGACAGTCAATTATTTCACATTTTTTGTTAAAAAAAGTAGAATTTTTTTAAAATAAAAAATTTTAACTGAAAAAAAAAAATAAAATAAAATATATATATATATATATATATATATATATATATATATATAATTTTCCTGAAGTTAATATTTTATTTTTATGAGAAAATGATAAAATATTTAATGAATATTCAGACCTCAGACCTTACAGGGACTACTGTTTGCTAAACAAATATAATTAAAAGTGTCAATATAACTGGATAATGCAGACAGGAAGTGATTCTAAAGTGGCCATATATTTTTTTTTAGTTTATTACACTTTCTTCTTATCTCTCTCTTTACTAAAAGATGTTGGAAACTGTGTCTGTGTTTTTGAATAACTATACAAGGAGAGGATTCACAGCATTTAATTTAACACAAATGTGGGTTTTCTTAATTGTTGACTTTTTTGACTTTGCCTTTTAAATACACTAATCTATAATATATAATAACATTGTGTGGTGTGAATGTCAAATCATAATCCCATTTTAAAATTCTGACTTTGTTCAAATTCTGCTTTATTTTTAATTTTTATGGGTTTTTTTCATGAATTATAGACGTTATAAACCCTTTCTAAGTAAATGTTTGGTCCTCAAATGCCTGCAATGTGGCACATTTAACGTTTAAAAAGATGTAGAGAACTGGGTCTGGATATGCTTTTGAAATGTTTGGAACCCTGGCTAAGGAACCCCGTGTCCTCATCCCTGTATTTTAGCTCCAAGATGTCGTCCCTTTCGGCTGCCAGCGTGGAGACGCCTGCTGTGACTGATGGCACGGAGAAGAAGCCTCTGAAGCCATGCTGTGCTTGCCCAGAGACCAAAAAAGTCAGAGATGCTTGGTAAGCACCAGGCCAGAAATACTGAAATGTTTCCCTTTCTGTTTGTGGGAAAACCTGTAAGTTGTGTTTGTCTCTGCTAGCATCATCGAAAAGGGAGAGGACAACTGCAGAGACCTGATCGAGGCGCATAAAGATTGCATGAGGTCGCTTGGATTCAAGGTCTAACTCCATTTTGTGCTTGTGTGTGTGGTAAGTATTTAGTTCCTGTAACGGCTTTTGTAACTTCTGGTTCTGTGGTCCCATCATGTGGTCACACACTTCCATACATCACTTGTTTTTAGTTTAGTATAATTCTGTATTGCGTAAAAATAAAACTTTGAAGTTTAATATTGGAGAAAGGGCCTGAAAGTAGAACATCAAATTGGGAAAGTCCAACTGGCTTCTCATCAACTCTGACATTAAAATCCAATATGGCTGCCTCAGCAAGTTGAAAAATAGAGCACAGCATAATGAAAACTCATGTTTTCTCAGTAAAAACTGACTTTGTAGGAAAATGAAGACATTTTTCTGCGGTCAAAGGTTGACGGTGAGTCAGATGGAGCCCTCGTTTTAGCTAATTCTCTATTGAAACTCAAATTGCTGATGAACACGGTCAGCACCACTGAAAACGCTTCAATGAGTATTCTGGGTCAAATGGTGGCGTTGTGGCACTGCCACAGATTGCTGAAAAAAACCACTTGAAGGCACCACATTTGTTTGGAAGTGTGGAGGATGTTTATAGACAAATGGAGCTACAAGGTCATTGTAAAGATGCACCTCAGATCTACACGGAAACTAGCGTCTTATTTAACCACTCTGGACCCTGGTTTCAAAAACGATCATTTGGGAGAACACGAAGGTTTGTGGTCTCCCAAAATGCCGGATGCGTGTGGACGCATGGCCTAAACAACTTTAACTTGTTGTGGACGCTTTGTTGCCATTTGTCTCTATGCTGGTATAGTAACTATACCGTCACAAAACTCTGAAAATGTGAGACAAAATACAATCTTTTTATTCCTCCACTCAGTGGATTTAAAGAGGACTGGCATGTCTCAGTTTTAACCGATACAGCTAAATTAGCTTAGCAACATAAGTTTTTCTGCTGAGAAAATGGCAGAAACTTATTTTGAGAGATTTTAGACGGTTAATATCCTGAGAGCGTTTTCAGTTTGTTGTTGCAAACCGCTAAAAGCTGGTAAAACAGGATGTGTCTGGCTCTCTGTCAGCTGATCTCACTTTTCTGCAGACTAACAATGACATGACAACTTTCTTCTACAAGGAACACATTTTCACCCCCATACCTCCCTTGTTGATGCTATCATTTCTTTATGAGCTTCACTTGCCTGCTGTTTTCTTGCTGCTGTCAGATGCGTTCTGACAGACTAAATCCCAGCTGAGCTGAGCCAGTGTGGCGTTTAAAGTCCCACCTGCCCTTTCTGTGAACCGTGAAAATGCCCATCTTTGATCTGGTTCAGATACGGTCACTTTGGGTTGTGTTAGTCGTCACAGATTTTATGCACAAACAGCAGAATCGGTTCAAAGTGTGTAAGAACGGATGAAATGCAGCCAGAGGAGGGATCCTGCTTGTTCAAACTTTAGGAAACAAGCCTGAAGCCGTTTTAGTTGTGCTGTTGGTGTCGTCGGAATAAAAACTTCTCCTCATTCTGCAGCACTATTGGCTCTTACATTTCATCCTGGGGTATGCTGAACGTCTGCATAAACATGTAGGGAAATCTGAACCTTGCATGTTTACTTTAGGGCTGAAACGATTAATCAAGATTAATTATTGAAATAATCAAATGACTTAGTAATTAGTTAATTTACTACTGTAGACTCAAAAAAGAAGAGAAATAGGTCATTTGGTGCAAAAAATCTTATTCAAAGCAGTAAATAAGTCACAGCTGTCAAAAAATAGACATTTTGCATTTAAGATAAACACTTTTGTCTATGAAAACTCAAGTGACTTAGTTTTTGCTTCACCCAGTTTAGATTTACTGAAGGATTGATTATTTTCCTACTTATAAGAGTTTGAATTATTTTCATATTTTAATGCATTTTAATATCGTGTAAAAAGGCTCAAGTGGTTAAATTAGAAACATGTGAAAAGTGTCGTTTATCCGATTGTCAGAATAATCATTAGTTGCAGCCCCAGTTCACTTTATTCTCAAAGTTAATTTGCACTTTGTCAAATCAGTTCATACCAATGGACTGATATAAATCCAAAAGCTGATTGTTTTTGTCTTTTCTCTCCTGCAGTGTGACGGCGTGAGTGGAAGACGACCCTGGATATTCATTTCCTTTTTTTTTTCACCCTCTTATTTATACCTCCTCTGGAACGGAAATGTGATACAGAAGCACTTGAACTGATGGATTTATGAGTGGAATATTTTTTTAACTCTGTAAAATCTGCTGTGTGAATATCTTAAAGGCTGTGTGATTATGAATAAAAGCCCTATGCAACAAGATTCCCTTTAGTCTCTTTTATCAGTCATATATTTATCTAAATAGGTGTCCCTCTCATGCCTGTTGAAAAGGGTGGCAGGCCCACAGTTGCTGCCCCTGGTATGCACTTATGCTTAAAAATAACTCTTGACCCTGCAAAGTCAATACTTGGCATATCTGCATTCTTTACAGCGTGTCACTGAAGTGTGTCTGATTGTGGACATGCATCCTCACACTGCTAGAAAACAGCTACTAGCGATACACAGGTTTGTCTTTTACCCGCTAGTTAACCTTTCATTTTTAAAGAAATCACCTTAACAACAAAATATTGGAATTGATCAGAGCTATTGTTTTATTTAAGGAGGTTTAAAACTTGTTTGAAGCAGCTATTAAGCTGACAAAAATTTAAATTTTGAGCTTAATCTGCTGATGTAATTTTATGCAAAACTGAATGCAGAATTAGACGTTTTCCACTGGGAGCTCCTCTGTTATTTAGCTCTTCTGGGAACGACGAGGGGACGACTCAGTCGTAACCCAACAGCTCCGTCTGCAGTGGCTTCTGTTAAGTTTGAGGAAACTTGTGATTTGAAAAGTTCAATGTGACAACTGAAAATTACAACACTGACCTGTGTGGTGTGTGTAGTAAAACGGGAGAGATTTTGAGATTTCAGTGCAAACTGGTTGCATCTCTAAATATAACACAGAGATTAAAGCATTTTTTCCCCTCAAGATTGATCTGAGTAAGGATCAGTGAATTATTGGTATTATTTAAAAAAATTATGATTTCAGTAATGTGGTTTTCTGTTTGTTGCTCTTTTCAGAATAAGCAGAGAAACTGTCTATTTCCAAGACATCTCACATTACAATAACTCAGACGATTAATAATCATTAAAAAAACTATATACTATTCAAAAATATGTAAAATTGGCCTTTTAGCAACTCAGTTACTCATCCAACACCCAACTTGGAGCATGAACTGGTAAAACCACCTCAAAGTGTTCTTGGGTTACCGTCTGTTTTCATTTTACGTGAGTTTGATTCACATTTATTTTGAATAAAATTATTATACGTTATGACACTGCATTATTTAATATCAGCTTAGTTCGATGGCGTATTGAGGAGTTGTAGACTACAAAAAATTTACATTTCTGCCAAAAAAACTCAAACATTTTCAGATTAAGTGCAGAAATTTCCTAGAAGTTGGGAAATTTCTGAGCTCCAAAAGTTGCAAGAAAAAAACTCGAGTTTTTTTTAGATTAATTTTCTAGAAATAACATTTTTGACTTATGAAAATTTTCTGTTTCCAAAGTAAAACATTTAGACTTTTTTTAAACTCTGAAATGTCCAAGTTTTTCTAGAAGATTTCGGAGTCTCTTGGCAGAAATTCTCTCCAATGCGCCGTCGTAGCTGAGACATCGTGATGGAGTTGTGAGCGGAGACTTCCCCAGTCGGAGCGGCGGTGGCGTTAGCGGCTGTTACACCTGAAACTTGACCTCCCCTGCGGTTCCGTTTATTTCTGTGCCTCTAAATACTCATTGCTCCCCCCATGAAGACACGGACCTGGGGGTGGACTGGACTGGACTCACTGAGTTTGGAGAAAACTGAACTTTAGGTGTGTGACATTTTGTTTCTTCCTGCCTGTTTCTTGTCATGTAGCCCATCTCTCACCCCGTGCTTCCTCTCCCTGTCTCTCTCTCTTATGTCTCTCTTCTGTTATGTTAAGGAGCGGGCCTGCTTTCTGTCCCTTCACTCTCCTCCTTGGGTTTCAATTCCAAACATGGTTATCCTTTTAGGGGCCTGTCGGCGTCCCCTCCCTTATCCCTTCTTCTCCATCTGTTGGCCCCTCAGTGTGGGCCGGTGGCACTGAGCAACAGGCGGGGAAGAGAAGACGAGGGCAGAGGACAGAGGAAGGGGACTCGCGATGAGAGGAGGAGGAGGAGAAGGACAGACCCATTCCAGCTGTGTTTCTGGAGCAAACAGAGCCGTGAGAACTTCTTCACATTGAAGAATTTTTCCACTGCACGGCACGGGAACAAACTTTTTTTTATATAAATATATTTATACTCGGAATCAGCTGTTTATTTGTACCCAAACACTGCAGCTTGTAGCTCTCCAGACTCTGAGCGTCTAGGAAGTTATTTCAGTCACCGTTCCGTCATTTGTTTTGAGCGTCCAACCGAACGAAACTGCAAACATGAGCGCGGACAACTCGACCCTGTGGGACGCCTTGTTCTCTCCGCCGGTGTGCGGCGGCTGGAGCAACAACACCGAGGGGGCCATCTACCATCTGGGCAACACCATTATGTTTCTGGGCTACATGGGAGGCAGCGGGGCCTTCGGCGCCCTCTTCATCTTCGGCTTCCTGTCGCCCGCCTTCCTGTTTCTCACCCTGTGGGGCTGGCTGACCATGTGCGGCCCGGACGTCTTCTCCTGGAACCTGCTGCTGCTGGCGGCCGCCCTGCTGCAGATCTGCCACCTCCTCTACCGGCTCCAGCAGGAGGGCCTCCGTGGCGAGGAGCTGACCTCCCTCTACCATGCCGTCTACCTGCCGCTGGGCGTGCCCGTCCAGGTGTTCAACGAAGTCGCCAAGGCGTTCGAAAACAAGGCAGTGGAGTTGAAGGCCGGGGAGACGTACGCCCTGGAGGGCAAGACCTACATCGACCAGCTCTCCTTTCTGCTGTCTGGGAGGTGGGCAGTGCGTTTTGAGGTGGCAAGCGAAGCCAAATTCATCTAGACAATCCAAACGACATGGCTAGCGTAGCTGCGTTTCCATTACAAATGCGCGCAAGACTTTATTGATATTCAGGTAATGACGGAAATAAAGCACAATTTCGCAGTTGCGGCGTTAAAATCCACACGTGGATAAGCTTTTTTTTCACACCGTTAAAAAACATGCAACACCATCATCCTCCAGCTACTTCCTGTCGTCAACATGCACAGCAGCAACACCAGCGGATGTTGCCCTAGTTGGTGATCGTGTGATGCAAAAAAAAACCCAAAAGGTTTTCCGTTGAATTTTTGCAAAATAAACCAAATTTGTTCCGGAAAAAAACAAAAAAAAAAAAAACTAATCCTAGCACCAAAACAAAAGTCTTTTCAAATTTGCCATGTTTCCATTAAGCAAATTTATTTTCAAAATGTCAAATTGCGTATTTATTTCGGTAAATGGAATCGCAGTTTGTGTTACAGTGATACTGCTGAAAATGATGGGCCAACTTATTTCTGGTGCAGCATTATTTAATTTTTGAATAAACTGCAAACCAGAGAAACAGCAAGTTGCTCCATCAAGCATTGCTACACAATACATTTGTACTGTAAACCCCAATGATCAAACAGTAGTAAACAGCTCTTCTTATAACCAGTTGCATTGTCTCCACCTACATTTCTACATGTGTTATTTCCACATACATCACTTTCATTAACCGACTAAATCACCAAAATGCATTTTACTGCATGAACAAATATAATTAATTCTGATTACTGGTAGTTTTATAGAGATTTTTACAACTGTTCTTAGTCTGTATTAAAAAAAAAAAATAATTTTATAAATTGTATTTTAAATTATATCGATTTTAAATAAATGTCTAACAGTTTCTGATTATATTCCATCTTAATGAAATGAACACAAAGTAATTTATACATGTTCTGATAACCAGAAAAATAAATAGTAAATATATAGTGCAGCCCTAAACCAAAAATATCTGTATGGAGAATACAGGCTTTAATGGCAACCGGATAATTGAACTAGCACAGGTACAGACCAAGCTCCATATCCTTCCTAGCCTGATGCTCCTTTTGGTTTTACATTTAGCTCAGCAGTTCGGTTTTACACAAACACCTCGGGACATGACATTTACTCCATTTAAGCTAGGTCACAGTCACACATTTTAGCTCACAAAAACTTTTAAAGGCTCTGCCACCGCCGCGGACCACGAGTCCGCCATTTTCACCACACTGCACGTTCACAAATGCTAAAACGTGTGATTTCACTCGTTAGCTTTACCTCTGTTCTGTGGCAAAGTACTTATGAGACATCACTACTATTAACTGTCATCTATATACAATTTACCGCCCAGCTTACCTACAAAAGAGCAGGTTGTAGGAGCTACTAGGTGTGTCCTCTTTACGCTTCTACGCCAAGCGCTGGCGAGCTTCTTCTGGCGGCCAGAGCTTAAGCAACTGGTGCATACGACGCCGAGCGCCCTCTGCTGGCAAAACTCATATTACATTTGTAAATATCGTAGTTTATCAAAAGAAAATGTGCTTGGACATAAATATAAAATGGCGATTCGGGAGGGGCTACTACTATTTCCATGTATGTCTTTCATAGTGTCCCTTCCATTATATCTGACTTTCAAAGTGCTGTATTTGTTTCACACTCTTAGTTTTTTTTCCCAGAACGGAGATATTTGTCTTGCTCATGTGGTGTACTGACACTTTTAAGAAAAATTTCACAATTTAATGATTTAGAGAAACTTTGATAAAGTGACTTTATTGGTTTTGAGCTATTTCTGGCTATAAAAACCACAAACATACTTTGTGTTTTTCTATTTGGTCCATATTGACAACTTTCTTTCATAATTCATAAAGAATTGGTTTTGAAACAGATTGTGTGCTTTAAAAGTCGAGGTTATTATTTTCTGCTGAAGGCCCTCCTCAGCTTTCAAAATTATGATTTTGTATTTCTCTTGAAATTTTTAAATAAATATTTTTTTTAAGTTTATCCCTTTTTTTTTAGATAATCTTTTTCTCCATGAAGTCAAGTTGCCAGAGAGGGTTCTCTCTGTTTTTTTCCCCCCTACATGTTTAAACAACAAAGTCTAATATTAGGTTACTATCAGCAGCTTTGCTAAAATTAGACGTCAAAGTTCTGACTCTTGCAGACTCTTGGCAGCTTTTGACCCTCACAGGAAATGTGTTCTCTTCATCCAAACATCCTCAAAGCGGAGCTGCGTTGGATCTGTGGAAGCTACAGAAGAAAAATGTCGTAAACAGATTATTTCTGTCCGTGACTCATCAGTGTGGGTCCCAGTGCAATCTGACAGTGATTCAGTTTTATCTTTTCTATGTGCAACAGGAGAGTGGAAGCAGACAGCTCTCCTTACCTTGAATTAAATGTTGGCCATGAAACTGAGAGCGCTGAGAGTCTGAGACAACTTTGGAAAAACAAACAAATATCTGAAGAGTTACTGTCACGGAAGTGGCGAAATGTTACACAAGTTGCTTTTCAATGTGACAGTATTACTGCTGGCAATTGTTTTGTGTTGCTCTGGTATTCTTTATTAAGCATCAGTCTCATAGTTGATTTAACTGCAATATAAAACAAGTTAAAACATGTCAATGAAGGCATCATCTGCAAATAATTTGTGACTCTTTGAGAAAAACAGATTTGCCCACAATACACCAAGTGCAGCCCAAGGGGAACAACATCTTACATTATTTGAAATAAATGTCTTTTGTAGTTTCAACCTGGAGTTAAAGAACATGTTTAGTGATTAGTATAATTTCATCAAAGCACATACACACAAAGTCAGTGGGGGGCTAATATCTATGATATCTATATATGATATATAGAAGTGCTAGTCCTCCGCGTTCTTTGAACAACCTACAGTTCCCATGTTAGCATCAACCTGGTTGTGGTCTACATTTATTGGACCACACTAAAAGAGTAAAATACTTTTCCTTAAAACGTTTGAACGATCGTTTAATATGATGAACGAAGCAAGTCTCTCTCAGATTTGCCAATCTGTTCTTCTTTTTACTCATCCCTTATTAAACCATCTTGGCGCCTCCTCTTTGCTTCCCACAGGAAAGTACTTAGAGGGATGAGAGGTGATTCTTTGTGCCAGATGTTGTCGTTTTCGTAATTTGCAAAAAGTTTAAACTGAATCTCATCTGACTGTGCCACTCTACTCATTATACATTATACTCAACATTATACAGCATATTTCTTGGATTATGTAAAGAAACACGTTCCAGGGGTGCTGTGGCGGCGCAGAGGTTAAGCATAAGCCACATATCTTCTCTTGATCATATTCAGTTAATTAAACTGGATCATCTCACACATTTTAATCTTCATTCATGATTCTGTTTGTTATGGTTGTTGGTTGTGTTGAGGCAAGTGTCCCTTTCTGGGATCCTCAGAGTTCCTTCTTCACTTTTGGCAAGTGGTGTGGTTCTGCCGGTATGTTCAACCTCTGACCTTTAGCATTCACTGGAGCCAGTTGAAGCTGAGTGTGAAGGCCCCAGGAGAAGCAGGAAATGGTGGAATATTCCCTCCATGGGTTGGGTCTGAGTTTCTTGCAGTTCTGTGGCTGTAAAATGGCAAACATCTGAAATAACCTTAAATAACAAACTATTTGTTTGTGGCAATACATTTGGCCCACTTAGAGAAGACGCTCTGCTCCTCCACATCAGAAGAAGGTGATCTGATAAAGGTGCCTATAAGAACCAACATTTGGGGGTCCTTGGACGTCCCAAAGAAGAACCAGGAGTGGCTAAATTGACAATCCTTCATTCTTGGAAATGTCTTGGTCTCACCAAGTGTCTAAATGCAGAGGGATGTTCGTAGTGGACCACTGGTATTCACAGGGATTATGTACCACAACTGGCTGCAAATAGTTTAAATCTGTGAAGGCTTGAGGCTTCCTCTAAAAACCGCCACCATCTTCCTTGTCTCCACTCTTGAGGTTACAGCCAGTCATTGGCAATGACCATGAATGGTGTCCCTGTCTTGGTTGCTTTGCAAATGCCAGTCAAAGTATGTCACGTACTATTGCTCCTAGGTATTCCAGCTTCCAATAGAATATGTGGTGTAAAAAAATTAGTGAATAGACAGATTTTCTGCAAATGGTTCAGAGTAGCTCTCCACAGAGAAATCTGCAAATAGGTGGGAGTCTATTGTATCTTCTTTCTGAACCAGCAACCTCCAGGCCCAGACCGAGGGGAATCACAATTAATAGACAGTCGGATGGCAATTGTAACATTTGTTCTCGCAAGGCCCAGTGAGTCTGGGGAGTCCCCTACCTCCCTCTGTTTTCAGTATCATATTTATCCTCTACCCTGTTTATCACCTGATGATTTTGGCAGTGGTGGTGGTAGTTTGTCCTGCATTCAATTCTTTGTTGTCAGTTCGTTTGCCACTCCGTCTGCCTCGGTCGTTGTGTCCTTGGGCAAGACGTTTTGTCTGCGTTGCCCGCTGGTGGTGGTCAGAGGATCCAGTGGTGACGGTGCATGGCAGCCTTCTGTCTGGCTGCCTTGCTACCATCAAGTAGCTTACCACCATCAGCATGTGAATGGGTGAATGGGTAAAGTGCCTTGGGGGTCCTCTGGATTGATAAAGCACTATACAAGTACAGTCCATTTACCATTTTTATCTCTCTTATTCTCACTTACAGGATCAATGTGTCTTTGGAGGGTCAGTTCCTGCATTACATTCACCCGCACCAGTTCCTTGACTCCCCTGAGTGGGAGTCTCTCAGACCAAATGAAGAAGGAAAGTTCCAGGTATGAGATCTAACACACAGACCACTTCATATTTACACTATTACTCATTTCAGGGAGACAATATTACCAACAAGGCACAAACCTGGTTGTTCTTTGAATTCTCCGTAGGTGACGCTGACGGCAGAAGAAGACTCCCGCTACATCTCGTGGAGTCGCCGCCGTCTCTACACGCTGATATCGAAGGACTGCTACATTGCCGACCTCTTCTCCGTCATGCTCGGCTACGACATTTCCGAAAAGCTCTACAACCTCAACAACAAGCTCTACATAAAGAGCGGCGTGCTACTGGACATCCGCCTGCCGAGCCTCTACCACGTCCTGGCGCCCTCCTCGCAGGGCAGCGACGGCGGCAGTGGCAGCGACGGCAAAGAGCAACACAGCCAAGACCTAGATCCAGCCTACCAGTCGTCCCACCCCGGACCGTCTCAGGCCCTCCAAGCTGACCAACAGGGACCAAGGACAAGCAATGTGTCCACTGAGGACAGTCCCTATCACCGCCCCTGGGCCACAGACCTGGAGATGCCATCTGGTGAGGATTCCACTAGCCTGGTCCTGGAGGACTTTGCTGATGTGGCGGGCTCCTTAATGGACTATGGCAGTGAGAAAGATTATTTAAGGTAGAGAGGCAGGGTGCTGGAGCTAACACACTGGGTCACCACTTAAGCTACATGTAAGTACCTCACTTGGCTGGATTGGGGCGCATGGGGGCCTCGTGTGCAGGGTTGACTTGCAGTGCACAGTTCTTACTAACATAATAGTGATAAAAAGGACAGAAAATCACAGCCTCATGTGATAACTCATAATGATTCTTATTCATCTGGCCTTAATTAACAATTTAAGGCTTAATATGGTTGAATTAATATCAGCAATCAGTCACAAACACATCTAATGTTTAGGAAAAAACCTTGTCAGTACATATAGATAGACTCAGATATGCATTTTTTAAAAGCATTTTGTCCCGTAGTAGAGACAAACTTCAATTTACTGTATTGGGATTTTCTTGTGAAAGACCAACAGCAAGTATTTATGAAAGGGGGTGGAAATGGTAGACACAGAAGCGTTCAGCCCACTGAGACGCCTCGTAGAAGCATCCTTCCCCGCTATATCAGCCGCGGATGCTCTGGAAAATGTCTCTACCAGGTTTTCAAACCCAACACTCAACGTTTTTGGCCATTCTTCTTTGCAAAATAGCATAAATAATTTGTGAACTTTCAAGTCTCTTTAGGGTTGTTGTCCTCCGGCTTCCCTTCCATCTGAAGTCGTTCGCAGCTCCAACATAGTTCCTTATATTATTGGTGTTTTTGGCATTTAGCATGTAATCTAGAGTTGAACTTTTGTCTCAAACACCTTCTTTCCCCTCCCATCTCTGACAGCTTGCAGGAGATTCTTTTTTCTCTCAACAGTAAATTTCTTCTTGTCACTATATTGAGATTAAATTACACATAGCAGAACTCTGGATGCACTTTTTTCTGATTGGTTTTACTTTGAGGTATCGGAGTAAAAGGGACTAAACAAACACATGGCACTGAAAAACACATTTAGCTGTTTTGTGTTACATAAGATCCTAACAATAAAACTTGTGTTTGAAACCTTTGTGTCAAAATGCAAACAAAAGAAGAAATACAAGAGTTATTAAAAACATAAAAATAGGAAGCAAGAACAACCACAGCATTCATGATTGTTGAAGCAACAACCTTTTTGTTATATTTAATTTAAAAAAATGACCTTACATGCAGTAAAAAAAAACACAAATATGCCTTATTTTTTGTTCCTGTTTCTCCAATAAGTTCAATGCACAAAACAGAATGAGCTTTGCAAAAATAAAAAATCCTGAAAATCTATGTCGAGTAGAATACAGATATAGTTGCAGTTACAAAACAAAATCTTCAATGTAAATAAAAAATTTAAAACATAGAAGGAAAGAGCTGTAAAAAACATCCAGGATGATGTATGCAATGTCTCAAATGGGTTTTTTACCCCCAAAAAACGTACATAATGCAAACATACGCAACATAAATAAGGCATGTTGCTGTTACTCTTATTTTTTTACTCAGTCAGTGTAACTCCAGCTGTAAGTTGGCACTCATTTCTGAAATGAGCAACTTAGCGATACATAATAAAAAAGGCTGCTTGCCTTCTCAGCTGTGGGGCTGTCTGGATTATTTTCCCATTTCCAAATCAAATTTTAAGACTAAACTATCCTCCATGTCAGTCGGTTTGTTTTAGCTGCCATAAATAAAGAGCACAGTCATGTTTTGGAGCAATAACAGAGTGAAACTGGTTCAGACTTGTTAGTGAAAACTGTTTTTACAGTTATGAACACATCGTGCCGTCAGTCCGAACCGTTCTGCTAGATGATCTGTGGGTCTGGTCTGGCTGCAGAGCGGCTGTGACGTCCGGCTCAAAGCAGCTGTTCTTTTTAGGGATTACAGCTTGTAAATTCAGGGGATGTAAAAAGAAAAAA